CTAGGTTTGTTTGCTTAGAACCGAGAGTGAGCGTGTTAGTGTCCTCAAGTTCCCTCCCATTGCAAATACATTTTCCCTCCATTCGTGTGCGGCGAGACCCCTCACTCTTTAACGGCGTCGGCGGGTTGGCGCAGTTAACGTCGTCTGCTTTACGTCTGCTAGTCAAAGCGATGGCTGCTTTAACTTTTCTGCGTCTGTCGGAGATTCACCGCTTTTTCACCGGCGAGAGTCACCGTTGCCTCGGGAAGCAAGGAGATAACAAGAGGAAGAAATTGACCTCTTAATCTAGAATTGAGGTCAGTTATCAAACTATAATACGGGAAGGGTTCACAAGGGTCGTGCGGGCATATTCCATTCAGCACGCCAGCCGGTCGTGGGCAGACGGTCGCCGAGTCCCGGAGCGCCTGCTAGGCCTAACTGCCCAGCTCGTTCGGTCGCGTTCGGTGGAATCGAGGCCGTTGGAGCTTTTCCTGGGTGTTTGTGGATCCAGCGTTCTTGTTCGTCGTGGTCTGTTTCAAGTACTTCTTAATTTTTTCTTGCTTCTTGAAGTCGGGACGCGTCAGAAGCGCAGGTAGAAAAATAAACGTCCGTGGGTCGTCGCGTCCGCGACGCTGTCGGCCATGTTCGGAGCTGTCGTAGGATTTCGCCGTAACCCCCGCAAAACTTACAAAAATTTCGTTTCGTGAATATGAATTCGTTCTTAAGTTTTGTCTTACGCGCATTTTTGGCGTAAGATCGTTTCATGAATCTGGCCTCTGCACTTCCGAAAGTCGCAGGAAACGTAAGACAGACGCAGACGACGTTGCGAGCAGACGACGTTGCAGAGGAGCAGACGACGCTCAGATAGGGGTTCGCGATCAGCCAATCAGGGCTCGGCGTTCTGACGTCACCGCTACCCCCTGCGCAAGAAGCAGACGAACTTGCCCTCCGCATTGCTTTAGAATCGCTTTGTCGTCTGCTTCGTCGTCGTCTGCTTCTTCGTCTTCGTGAACGCGTAAGCCCACTACCGTTCACGGGGTAATCCCACTGCGGCCGCGGAAAAAACAAAAACAAAAAAGAACGGCGCTACTACTCGAGCATTCCGACTTCTCGGATGTCTCAATGGGTGACCGGCGTTTGAGCCGGAAGTTTCGTCATCTGAAGCGAGGCACCACGTGACTTTACGCTTCCGGTTCGTCCGGTTCCGGTCGTGGTTCGTCCAGCCGCATCGAGCCCTTCTATAGGCGTCAGGGTTGCCAGGTTGGGCTATTAATAGCCAAATTGGGCTACTTTGTCATGCATTTGGCGTCGAAATTTGGCGGTTGGCGATGGGGCTATTTTTGGGCTATTTCAAATCCTAACGCAGCACTTCTCTTTTTTTTTTTTGCTTGGTTTAGAGTAGTACAAAGACACTTCAGCACGGACACAAAGCGGCAGTCCACCCTTTCCGGATTTCCGCTTTCAGGGATTTTCTGCGTGAAGAATAGTGGGCGTGGTGCCAGAACCTACTAGCTCAAGTGAGCTACCGTGACCTAGATTCAGCTCTGACGACATCGCTTTTGTAGTAATTGTGGCTTATCTTATGCTCCCAAGTTCTTTCTGCATCCTACCGGCGTCTCTTATTTCCTCGAGTTTCCCACCATCCTCCTACAGGAAGCACATCATCTGAGGAAAAATGATACTAAAGGCAACTCAAGGCATCCTGCAGAATTTGATGTTGCCCGATAACGTGTAGCTTTTGCGCGAAACACGAAAGTTTCTTAAAGCACAGTGAGCCATAACAAAAGACAACAAATTTCGAACAATGAATATTCCGAACAAGGCCAAGATCAATGCGCAGGAGCAGCCCTGTTTCCATTGCTATCCGAGCTCGCTATCGCGCACCCGGCACTGCCCATGTCGAATGCCGCCGTGGAGAGAGTATTCAGTCACGTGTCCCTCACAAAATCAGTCCTAAGGTAGAACATGTCCCTTCCAACTCTTCCAAACGTCCACTATGTAAAGTTTGCTTTCCTTGGGAAGAACGTGTTTTGTAAGGACATGAACCCTACTGACGAAGTTTTTGCTCGTTCTAACACGGAAATCACGTATGAGGCGGGTAAGCCGGGCACGAGCGTGTGCTTCATAACTATGTGACTGCAAAAACACGTGGAAAATTTTTGTACTTTTGTGTTTGAAATAAAACGTTCAATACATTTCAAGATGTCGTAGATCTCGCAAGCTGCTCCCAAATACTAGATATGCAGACGCAGTGCCCTTGAATTGAGCTCGCACATTCAAGCGCACGATTTTACGGGCTGCAGAATATGGCTACTTTTGGGCTACATTAATTTCTTGCATTTGGCTACTTTTGGGCTACACCGTCTGGCTTTTGGCGGTTTCAGCCAGAAACTACCTGGCAACCCTGATTAGGCGTGGTAGCCGCGCTGTATTCGCGGTAAAAATGGTTTACAGCTCCGTGGTGCGTTGTTCTAACGCAAGCCATAGAGGGCATAAGATGTTCCAGTTCCCGTGAAACAAAACATTGAAGCAACGATGGGCCGTCGCTGTTAAGCGAGTGATGGAGCGAGATGACCTGCGACAGACAAACGTCGGCGACCGTCTATGCGCGGCCAATATTGTTACAGGCCAGTACGACGTGTACTCTCTTTCTTCAGGTAGGGGCCGGAGGAAATAACGATCCCTAACAGTTTTTTGGCACCCACCAAAAAAGTTTCGATTAATGCGCGAAGGGGTGAGCACTGCTTGTCGTACAAGGCATCCGCCGAACGCGGGATGCGATCTCGCAGGCAATCAATTCATGACACGACGTTTCGTCGACATACAGTGCCATCGCCAGGCCATTTAATCGTTACATCGACAGCTCGGATTAACATTTCCTGTGATGAGCCGCCGCACACTGTTCCCGCGAAGCGGCGTGAATGGGTGGCTTGCTATAATATAAATAAACAAAAGGACAGGTCAGCTTTCTGTAATATAAAGAAATAAAAGCAAATGGGCAGCACCTTTATATGGACGGATAGTAAAGCGGTAGTACGACCCTGCGTAGCTCATATCAAAATCGGTGCTCGTTTGTGCCTGCTTTCTTCCTCGACATTATTAAAAAAACGTGCGGGAAAGGGGGGGGGGGGGGGGGGGGTATGGTAGTTCACGGGGGACAACTTAGTTGAAGTAGCAAAAACGCGTGAGTGTTAAAAAGCAAGGATTGTCATGTAGTCAGATGTCGTCGAAACTAACTTTTGTACGGTAGTGGCGTTTCAATCGCGCGAGAAAGCATATTAGCTGAGCTTGAAACGCTGTCTGACCGACTTCTTTCACTGTCTTCAACTTTTGGTTAAAAAAAGTCAAATTTGGGATTTTTACGTGCCAAACCTACGACGGGCATCTGACACGCCCCAGCGGAGGACTGAGGATTAATTCCAACCACCCGGGGATCTTTTGACGTGCAACAAGCTCGGTTACACGGCGCCTTCTCCGCAATAAGCCTCCCATATATTGCGGGCACCTCGGCCGGGATTCGAACCCGCCACCTGGGGAAACTTTTGGTTGCCTGAAGATTTTCTTACCCAGATTCAGATGTTCTATAGTCGGTTACAAGTCAAGAAGGTAGGAGAAGCTCCTCCCACAAGTGTGATGCGGCCGTTGCGAATCTCTCCGCAGTCGAAAGAAGAGTTCACTGGAAACGCTCCTTGTTCCGCTTCAATAGATTCCAACTTGTCTCCGATCCCACTTTTTAAGAAAGCGACCTTTGTATTCATCGGAGAGGGAACCGAGCCCCTGAAAGCAGCCTTTGTATCCATCGGGGGGGAAGCTAATCCCCGAAAGTCGCATTTGTTTCCGTCGGTGGGGCAGAACTCTAATCTCCCTCTCGTAGCTTCCACAGTGCTAAGTCAGATTCGAAAAATAAAGCAAATATGTACAGAAAGGCAACACCCTCTTCGCGCGTTGGCCGCAACGTCACGGAAACGGTGGGACGCTATTGGATGCGGAGGTGGCAGAGGGATATCTGACTCCCTTTGAGGGGCGTTTGCCGCTACCTTCTTGACCTGTAACTGACTATAACAAAATGAGAAAAGTACGCCAGACCTCCGATCGGGCATTTCAGCTGGCCACGTCCCACGGCTTACATTCGCGCCTAATTCAGTCGGGGATGTGACCTAACGTGACCATCAAAAATAAACAGAACCCAAATGAAAAGCGCTGGCTCAAAAGGAAAACAAAACATCTTGCCTGAGTTTTCACGCGAAGACCTGGAAACCGCGGTGCGAGTGCAGCTTGCCGCCGGCAGCACTCGCTCTGCGCTTTCGTGGCCGTTCTCGATGCTTCTGCGTACCGATTACTACTTAACATATCCGTAGAAGTAACTTGAGACGTTCGGAACTGCGTAAGTCACCCAGCAGCAGAGGAAGCTGGCCCGGCCTGATCGGGTTTCAAAACCCGCACACGCTTCCATTGCCGTCACAGGGCTGCGTCGGCTGCTAGCTACAAACCGGAAGTGAATAATACCCAGAGTGCTTTGAGGCTGCTGCCAAACGCCGGTCACCTATTACCTTGCAAACAAGTGAACATCTAGTGCAATGAGTGCAATAGCAAAGAACAAGAAAATTCGAGGGATAATCGGCTCGGTGTAGCACAACGGAACAGCATCAAATGTGATGAAAAACTGAGCTTGGTGGTGCTCACCGCCGTATTCATAAACATTCCCCTACTCGACTCCAAACTCGACTCGACTTGAGTGGAGTATGGACGCGCGACTCCACTCGAAGTGCCATTGGTATTCACAGATGCGAATCGGCACTCACTCGAACTCGAGATTCCGTTCTTCACTCCAAGCTTGAGGACGTCTGGGAGCGAGATTATAGCCAAAGGTTTTATTTAAAACACCATTTTTACGTGAAAAGTAAATATATTCGTTCGTGTTATCTAAAAACGTGTACCATACAAACATCGAATTAGTGAACTACGAAGTTTTATTAAGGCAGCGTAAAGTTTAGACGTGTTTAAGCGGCAAAACGGACAAAGTCGTTACCTTGTCTGGCAACAAGCGCATTCGCTAGCTGCGTCTTGTCGTTCTCTCGTCGACAGTCGTCTATCTCACGGTTTGTCGATTTCGTCTCGTTTTTTCTTGCTTTCGCCGCCCTTTGTCTACCGTGCAGCCCTGCTTCGTCGCCTCGCCGCCTCGCCGCCTCGCACGACAAATCATGGAGGACCCCAACGGCAACGACTCGGAAATGGCCGATACCGAAGAGCGGGCAGGGGCTCGTTTTATTTATACTGCGGAGGAGAAGGCGCTCCTCCAAGCGCTCGTAACGAAACATGCGCGAGTTCTTGAAAACAAGAAGGCAAATAACTACTCGAAGGAGGCTAAACTTAAAGCTTGGGAGAAACTCAGCACCGAGTATAACAGCCAGCCAAACGTCCGCCCACGAAGCGCTAAGCAACTCAAGAAGCGTGGGGAGAACGAAAAATCCAGATACAAAAAAACCAAGTCCGACGAGACGAGAGACATCCACGCCACGGGTAAGTCGACAATTTGCATATTTGGTAAACCGTTCCCGATGTGTAAAAAGTAAACATCGGAGAGAAGTCCTTTCGACCAGAACAATGCTATGTGCACGACGTTGTGCTCCTTTCCGGGTCTCGTATAAAACGAATTTTCAAAACGAGTTGTTCAAAGCTGTAGCGTAGCAAAGTTCGCTTCATACGCATGCAGCCGATCCAGGTTCGATCCAAAGTGGGCCTACTTCTTTTCTTTTTTCTTGACATATTTTTTTTGTAGAACATTTGGCGTTATTGACATTTTTTTTTACAATCGTCACTGAAAACAAATGAGGTCCCCGCATCTTGCCGGAAGCCTATTCTATCGAAGTGCCCAGCATTCAATTGCCCATAAGAAGGTTCCAGGTGGGCCTCCACTGGGTTGTGCTAGATTTTCTCTTCGTTAGGTTCGCTTTAGTCCCCTTAACAATTGTTTTTATCTCGCACGGAGGCGTTTCGAAAATTCAGTGTGCTCTTTGAATTGTTTGTCCCATACATTGTTCACTCTCTCCAATCTGAGCTTCAAATTCTTTGGTTTCTGTCACAGGAGGTGGGCCACGAACAAGCCGGCCGATGAGCCCCTCACTCATTCTTGTGGGAGCGGCGGCAGACCACATGGAGACGGTGACAAATCTCTGCGGCAGCGACAGGGCAAGAGACCGGCCAGTGCTGTCGCTGCCTCCGGCTGCAATGTTTGAAGCAATGGTGCGAGGCACTGAAGGCAATGACAATCACGCCTGCTGGAACGACGTGCCAGGTAACTGGGGGCTTTTGGATTGGGACAAATTTGCACCAACATGTCGGGGATGGGTACCGTGAGCCGTAACATGTCTACTTGTATTTGCGACTTGTATCATTTTAACAGCAAATCTGGAACAGAAAAAAAGGCACCGAAGCCTTTTTCTTTTATTGCTCGGCAACGTCTACACTATTGTACATATCTTCGAAGTTCCAAAATTGAAAATGCGAGCAGTGGGTCGTGACATAGTACTGATAGTACTGTGAATTGAAACCAAAACTAGTGGTTAATAGACCTGTTGCAAAGCGTACAGCGCCACGACGGCACAGAATTTTGGGAAGACTCGGTACAGATCACGTACCTTCTCGTTGCGCTTCCGCGACAGCGAGTGAGTCGTGGCAGCTGCCACCAGCAGCAGTCGCAGCCATCCGCCATCCCGCCAAACCGTCGTTGGCGGCGTACCGTATCTGTGGCAGTGGGCGCGTTAAGTCGGCGCTCTTTTACTCCTCCTACTCCAAGTGCAGCAACTAAACGGCGCATAGCGTACAGGAGCGCGACACACCGAGGCTGCGTTCCAAACCTACTCGAATGGATACGAGTTACCCTGGCGGATTATGTCACGCGACATCAAAAATAGAGAAACGCTGGACGCGGGTAGGTTTTCGACAACCACCTTTACCCTACACTCTAAAAAAAAAGGGAGTAGTACTTCCTCCCTTAAAGGAGGAACTCGCATGTATCATATATTGCTCTACAAATGGAGGAAATTTTCCTACTACAAAACGGGAGGAAATTTCCTCCCCTAGGAAGGGAGGAAAGTTGCCACCTATTTTTGCTCGTGGAGAAAACGTTCCTCCCCTAAGAAGGGAGGAAAATCGCCACCTTTTTTCGCCCAATGGAGGAAACTTTCTCCCCTCGTGTAATTCATATAACTTCCACCAGATGGCGCTCAAAACAGAAAAAAAAAATGTTGGTGGAGTGCCAATTTGTTTTCCAATGTCCCCCGCCCTTGAACGCTACATGGCAAATACAACACCGAACATACAGAATACACGAAACACAAGGAGAACACCCCACAAACGCAACAACGCACCGACACTGAACCCCCACCCCCCTCCACGTACGCTAACTTCGCACTCTCTCTATATATGGCAGTCTTATTTTTGAATCCGAATTGGCCGGTGACTGCCATCATTTGTCGCATAAACACGGAGAGACGGAGCGAGTGTTACTCGTACTTCATAGATTATTTCACTTGTCTCTTGGAATAGCCCCTATCTCTTAATTCAACACCCTGATCAAAGCAAATGTAGATCATTAGGTTAATTAACTAAAATTTAATGAATATATTTTTAATAAGTTCGAAGAATCATGTTGGCAATGCAGTGTTGAAATGCAGTACACTGGTGCTAAAATTTGCCACCAAGCTATAGCTTGATTGGAGTGTGCAGTGCCAGTGTAATCAATTTTAAGTTTCGGCGGGGGAATGATTAATTTTAATTGTTGCACAAGAATTTCAAGGAATTTTTGAAACAAAAAATATTCCTGGTTTTAACAAGACTCGTTGCAAGAGCAGGGGACATATCTTGGGTCACGCTTCGTCACCCGTAAAAGTGAAATTTAATATTGTTTTAATTTTCTAACCTGGAGCGTTCTACCTATAAATAGTAAGTGCCGGGAGCGATAAGGACCCACGAACCATGACTTTGGTATCACAACCGCTTGAAAACATCATGCTGCCCAAGTCAAAAAGTTAAAAAGCCCGTGTTGAGAGTTTTAGATCGTTCAGTCACTTCCGCAACTCTATAAGCAATCCATTATGGGTATGGCCTCCGCTATATCTACCGTAGCGGAGCCGTGTTTTCATGTTTTAGAGGACGTTTGCAACCCGTTGCAGAATATAGCGTTACGAGAGCTAACGCAATGCAACTATTTTGGACACTAAAGCTAAAATAAAAGGTTGTACAGCAATTGTTAGTAATATTCTATTCATGTCGCTATCTAAATAGAATGTTAATAGTAAGCTTATGTTCATCCTTGCTTCTTTTAAAAGTAAGTCCAGTACATTTGCGACGAGCAGACTTGAGATCCACGTTGTTGACGCCGGGTGAACTTGGTCGTGTGCTACAGCCGGCCAGCGCTCGTTTCGCGACACGAGAGAAACCGCGCGATAAGGGACTAAGTGGGCCGCATAAAAGAAAACAAAAGTGCGACGGAATTATTTGTTCACTTTACCTTCTTTTTTTTTTTTTTTGTTGCGAGTGCGTTATTTGATATGTAGCACACAGTAGCAGGAGATGCCGCACAAACTAAAAAAGCGGCGGTGAACCGTCCGCTTGGTTGGATCATCCGTTCCTTCAAGACCGCAGATCCGGCCTCCCTCCCCCCCTTCGCCCCGCAACCAGAATGGAATGTCTGTACTACCCTTTCTTCCAAGTGGACTCTTCCCGAATGAATTGTTGACCTTGTCTCCCGGATTTGTTGCTTCGTTCCTTCGCCGAATCGTCATTTCAGCGTCCTTTCTTGTGCGGGGATCAGGTTTAAAAAAAAAAAATATATATCGCGTGTTTTCGCAAGCCGGTCGTGGTCCCGATGTTGACGGACTACGACGTGTGTCGGACGGCAGTCGCTCGCCGCATCGCAGTTCTCGTTCCTATCGACTGGATATGCTGTTCTGTTTTACACAGAACTGAAATAAACGCTGCACGGATTACCTTTCGCTGTATATGGTACGTACGCTTTATTTCAAGTGTATATGTTTTTCGCGGAGGTGACGGGGCTAGGAACGTATAGACGTGTCGACTCGAATAGAGCAGCGATCTTAGCAACAACGTGATTAAAGAAAAAAATGTTCCACGCTTATGATGATTATTTCTTGTGCGCCCTACTTGTTACTGAAGTTAAAGCCAATAGGCAGGCGAGCTGGTTAAGGATAGATAGTTTCGAGTCTGTTCGTCCTTTTTTTGTTCCCTCGCTCCAGGTTCACTATGTCCACTTGTAATGTAGCAAGTAACGCGACGAAAGCGGTCGTACTTGCCATGCCAGTGATAAGTCGCCACCTGTACTTATCGCAGCTGTAAGGTTTCATTCACAATGAATAAGCGCGATCTCGAAGCGGGCACATACGGCGTGATTCTTGCGAGACGCGCGCCGCGCTACGCGCCTCGCTTTTTGGTTTGTTAAACTAGTGTACCTCCGCTAGCCCCCGCAGCTCCGCTTTTTCTCTCCTAGCACCGCGCATGGGCAGTAGTGGGATTGATCTAGGTGACGGTAACCAATCCCTTAAGTTGCCGTCACCGCCATTGAACATGTTCGCGGCGGCAGCGGCGGTTCGAACCGCCGCTGCCGCCGCGATCATGGGGGAGGAAATTTTCGTCCCTTTTTCAAGCGCCACCAGGTTGCGCTGCATCTAAATCGGTGAAATGGAGGAACGGGTGCAATTTCCTCCCTTCCGTAGGGGACAGGGAGGAAAATCACTTTTTCCTCCATTTCTCCTCCCTTTTTTTTTAGAGTGTAGAGTTAGATCGAGTAAGTTTTGGAACACAGGCTTTCCCGCAACACATCGTAGGATAGCGGTGGCGCAGCAGGCGTTTGCGACTTTTATTCAAGCGCATGCCCGCATAAAGCTTTATGCCTGTGGTGCCAGGAACGCCATCCAGATTCGGCGACATTCGGGCATGTGCAGTTTCGTGGCTCCGGGTTCGTTCCTCCGACATTGCGTCAACCGCATGTGGCGACGGCAACAATCATAAAGAAACGTACGTCGCTGACGTTCGCGACAAAGCTTGAAATCATCCGCCGCGTTGAAAAAGGAGAAAAGAAGCCCAGCATTGCCGAAGCGTACAACATACTGCGAAGCACTTTGAGCACGCTGCTGAAGACGAAAAGTGACATCAAACCGAAGGCTGAACAAAGCAAGCACTCCAGCGCACGCCGTGTTCGGACACCGGCCTTCGAAAAGGTGGAAAGATCACTTCACAAGTGGTTTATGGACGCAAGGGCTCGGAACATTCCGGCGTCAGGCCGATGCTTCAACAGAAAGCAAAGGACTTCGCGTTCATCCACCAAGCACAAAACGTCGCCGCAAGTAGCGGGTGGCTGCAACGCTTCAAAGCCTGTTACAACATTGTCGGGAAGACGGTCTCACTTTTACGCCGCTACTGCAGTGCAATCGACGGTAGTGATCTGGCGCTGGTGGACTGCTTGGAGACAGTGGAGCCGGCCGTAATAAGGCATGCGGTCAGCTCCATGCAGCAATCTACGCTGCGGCAGTTTTTTTCGTCGGAATAAATAGTTCACCTTAACGCTTCACGTGAATACTATACTTCGTTTCAACTTCCGTCCGAACGCAGCCAAAGCTACGTGTGGCCGGAGCCAATCACACGCCGGCAATTGGTCACGCGATCTCGCCTGCACTTGGTATCGCTCCGCTGCGCCGCTGGCCGTCCGCGCCGCCCGCGCTCGCCGAGTATTTCGTCTGCTACGGGTGTATCAACGAAATCGTCTGCTACAGGTTTAAAAAGTGACCTTTCACGTTCTGAAATTAAGTCGCAGGGGATGTCAGTATGTATGCTGGCCGCTGTGTCCGAGCTTTCCACCTGTTCGGCATTTCGGCATAGTTTCGAGATGTAAGTAGACATTGCAAGATGCCCGACGACCCGGCCGTTGATGTTTCCTTGTATTGTCTGGATATACCAGGGCTCGAGCCACAGTCCTTTCTACCAGCTTCTTGGCGTACAATGTGATCGGCAGGTAAAGGGGTGCCCTGATTTCGCTGTGTATCAGGGAATTGTAGTGGCCTGGACGCTTTTCTTGTTTACAAAGCATTTGCGGTACGACACGGCCGGAGTCTCCTGCAGAATTGAAAAGTAGACATTCATCACGACCTCTCGCGCCTGACGCCCGGACATGCCTTTGCGAAAGGACATTTTGAAGAGACTCGGTGAGGAAAGCAACAAACAAGCAGCGAAGCACATGATTCGGCAATTACAGGAACAAAATCAAAACTGAGCGCTGCAGCCGTGTTGCCAGCGGACGTACGTTTTTTCACCAAACCACATGTATCTACATATATTAATAAGAGCTTAAACTTCAGATATTTAATTCCTTTAGTTGCAAATCATTCTCAGCAGTACACATCTGGAATATTGTTCAGCGTTTACGCACAAAAAAGTTGTTTAAAAGGAATTACTTTTGCGGACTACTTTGCGATGCGTAAAAATGCTCTTCTCGAAGTTGCGAAGCGTCCGTCAGCCTTTGGCTGCGCTCGAACGGAAGCTGAAACGAAGTGTAGTCATTTTTTGCCGTTAGCCTTTCACTGATTAAATCGCGCTGTGTGACTTTGTATATCGAATTTTGATTATATCGAACTATTTCACGGTCCTTGCACTGTTCGATATAACGAGGTTTGACTAATTTGCCAACGCCTAGCTTTGAACATTTCTACGAAAGGCCCATGTGGCTGTTGGGCCTCTTCCCCTGTGTACTTGCTCTTCCCCTAGCACTCACAGTGCCAATGTGTTTTGCACGCCCAGATGCTCCTGATCCGTCCGCCTCACCTCTCCAAGACAGCAGCGTTGGAGCTGCTTGTGTGACTCCGCCGGCAAGGAGCATTACCTGCCCCCGTGCTGAGCTGCCAAGCGGGGCATCCAGAAGAACTGGAAACCGCATCGCAGCACTGGAGCGGATCATGGCTCCCGAAAAGGAGGCCCGTGTAGACATCCTCGAGAGGGAAGATCGGCGGAAGGAGGCGCAACATTTAATGCAAATGCGCATACTCCGCAACAAACTTTTTGAGCAGCGACGACGCGGACGGGCAGAGTTCCAGCTGCTCCAGCTGGAGAGAGAGATAAAGGTGGAGCAGCTGGCAGCCCTGCGCTGCAAGCTGCAAGGGTGTAGAAATCACAATTAAATTTGGGTTCTTTCAGTTTAAAAGCATTCCGAGGATTTATTTTATGTGCGCTACATTGTAGTGAAACGATAGAACCTAATGTGTTTTGCATATTCGGAAGTTGAATGAAACAGCACACTACAATTGAAGGGAAGGGTAGGTCTTTCGTTAGCTCTGTGCTGGCCACAAGTCTTTCCCAGAATATGTTAGATTGACCAAATACGCGGAATTGGATTTGAAAATCAATTTATTCGAGCGCTTACTACTGAATTCGTGTCCGAGTATTTGCACGAGTCAGTGACGGGTCAAGAACAGAGTACAAGCTGGAGATGAGAAGTAGGATGGAAGCTTTAAGTGGAGAGGAGGTTTCTCCTCTCCACCTCAAGCTTCTGTCTGCTTCCTCCTCTCCAGCTTGTACACTATCCTTGACCTGTCATTGACTATAAACATGTGCTACTGGTTGAATATCCCTATTGGAAACACAGTGCGATGATCTGTGTGCGTTTCAGCGAGCCGTTGATTATGTCGACAGGGTCTGGAGGTGATGGCAGTACATGAGGACGCAGCCGCCTCCGGCGTCGGGGTACTGGTGGAGAGGGTAGAGCAGGTGGGCATGGCTCTTTTCGCAGCAGGGCCAGGTTGTGCAGTGCAGCACAGGCGGTGATGATGAGGGCTGACCGTTCCGCCTTGTACTGTAGCCGCATGTCCAGGCATGGGAAGCGTCGCTTGAACACTCCAAATGCCCGTTCGACCGAGTTCCTTGTTTTTAGGTGAGCTGCTTGGTACCTATATGGTGCAGCATTGGTAATGGAAGCAACGTTGCAAGATAAAGGTCTTCAGGTGTAAAAATCGCCACTGCTGCAACCATCAGTATGGTTCAGCAACCTGTACAGTGCGGCCCATCCATGCTAGCTGCATTTTCGGCATTTTCTATTGCTTACCAGAGGCTACTGTTCTGCATACAGTGGTTTTGGCTGGTGTTTTCTACATTACCGTCTTAATTTAAGTTCTTGGCCCTAGTCCAATTCTAGTGACAAAAAGCAACAATTGACACCGACTAACTGTGACGAGGAAGAACAACAAATGTTCTCGAGGAAAATAAAAATAGAACTAAAATGTTGTATGCTACATACTTTTGAAACAAAAATTTGTCCACAGGAAGTGAATAATGCCAGCTTTTTTTGCCATACAAAGGCTTAAAGGTCATGAATCTAGCTGTGACAAAGATTTGCAGAACTAATAGTAACCAATAGGAACACTGTGGCTACAGCATCACTTCTTGTTAGCTGTTCTGAATTTCATGCCATTATTTCTTTCAACAAATTAGTACATACCTGCCCTTTGGGCTGTTGGCTACACCTGGGCTGGTCAGGGGCGTCAGAAGAAATGACATGCAGGCATAGCCTGCATCTTCGAGCAGCAGGCCAGGGATGCGCCGATTCTCGTACAGGACCCTTGCACGACTGTTATCGAATATCCTGCTGTCATGCACGGAGCCTGGCCATCTAGCAACAAGGTCAAAAAACTGCAGCTGGGGTCCTGTGATGGCCTGTGGATAGGAAGGAGCAGTACAGGGATGAGCAGGTTGCCATGATATGAACACAAGTGCTCAAGCTGATATTTCTACTATGATTAGTATATTTTTGACAAGCGCATCTGCAAGCTTTGGAAATTAACTAGCATTTGAGTTCTCGCAGTTTTATGTGACGTAAGCTTCAATGTGGCTTAATTCCTAGGTTTTTCGCGCAGTATGATAGAAGAGAATTTGAGCACGGGATAAAATCTCCCTAATATTTTGTTCGAAAAGTATAATTCAAGGGGAAAATGCTATAAAACATGACCGTTTGCTATAAAATAACAAAAGCCACCTCGGCACCCAATTAAATGTATGTTTCCAAACACAATACATAATTCTTGGTTTTGAACCCTCTCTAGCTGGCCCACCACCACTCTGCACTGTCGCAGAGTGCAGATCTCTCTACAAGTTCTAGTCTATATCAGTCACAATATCGCCGAGCTTTCACGTACCACACCGGGTCTTGGCGTGCCGTTGTTTTCAACTTACTTCGCTGCCGCTAACAGCACAGACAGAAGTGAACTTACCTGCACGTTGAGGGAGAAGAACCCCTTCCTGTTCCTGAAGACTTCCCCATTGGGACCGCCAGGTCCCTTTATTTTGACGTGGGTGCAGTCGATGCACCCAGTCACACTGGGGAACTTCCCGATGTTGTAGAAATCCCGCATGACCTCGCCGCAGTCGCCCTCCGGGAAATCCACGAGGCGGGGGAAGAGAGTCTCGGCGAGGACCCGGGAGACGCGCTCGATTACGCGGCACACCGTCGGCTGCGACACGTTCACGAGGTCGCCCGTGACTACTTGAAAAGTCCCGGCGCCATAAAATCTCAGCGCTACGAGGAGCTGGAGCATCGGGGACAGTGGCAGGCCGCGACTGCTCTCGTTTGCTTCCAGCGGCAGGCACTGCAGGAGGCTTACGACTGTCGATTTTGTAAAACGATAGCGCACCAGGAACTCCCAATCGTTGAAATGCTCCAGCGGATTGAGCCGGTCCCGGCAACGTCGTCTCGGCACATCGACGTCCTGGTCAGGGTCTCAGTCGTCGTGAAGAACTTCGTCCGTTCTCAGCACGAAGTCGACGAAGTCGGCGAACGATGCGTCGGCCGCCATGACACTGAACGCACTCGAGTGACTCGAGTGGCCGTTCAAGGTAGCTCCGGCGCAGACTCGAGATCTCGAGTAAATTTTGGAGTTTCGAGTGGAGATTTGTTTATGAATCGCAAAACCACCCTCAAGTCGAGTTTCGAGTCGAGTTTCGAGTCGAGTAGCGTTTAAGAATACGGCGGTCAGTCTTGTTCATAACGATTAATCAGCCATAAAGTAAGAGGAGCTAAATAGACTTTCTCGGTCCGCGATAGTTTTCTAGAAGTTGTTTCATTCTGGTTCACAGCTTGTGCGACAGAGTACGATGAACAGCGGGATAAGCCTGCACACAAAGAACTGATCTACAGAAAGGCCATGCCTGACGCGCCGTAATAATTGGCATCTATCAAAAAGAAGCAACCATGCCAGATACCTGAAAGCTTGGGGTGGAGATGATTTTTCGCGCACAGCTTCTATTCAGTTTTATTCTGTTTGCGCAAGATCCGAACGCTAACAGTCGCCCGACGGGGGAAGCTTTTTTTGCGATCTCGACTGGTGCTAATGCAGAACGGATCAGTAACACCAGCCTAATAAACCACCACAAAATGAATGAGGTTCCTTTGTTACATTTTTGGCGGTAAGTACGTGTTGCACTTCTAAATTGCATTAAGTAATCTTTTCGCGTAGGTATGCAAAAAAAAACAAAAAAAACTGAAGGCTGCTTCAGAAAAAAAGTTGTTTTATATCAAGTTGTACATATCGGGAATCGCTGTTCTTTTTTAGTGATTGTCCTGATCTTTTGAAGCACAGTTGTGCTTGAAACATGTCGCCGCAATACAAGTTATAACCACCAAAATACACCGAGTAAGACGTGTATTAAAAACGGCCTCCGCAGAGCAGTGCAGAGGTTCTATTTGAGATAGACCAACGAATAGGCCGCTACGGAGCAAATGGTCAGAGAGATTCCAGCTTGCGGAACACTTCGGCACGCTGTATGTCTCGTGCCCTGTAATCCTACATATTTTAGCTGACGTGCAATAATTGGATATAAATTATGAAGCCAATCGCGAAATGAGTCAACACCTGGCTAAAAGTCTCGTGCTAACCCAAAAATTTCCAAACGCCGGGCGTACAATGCGCGCCGACGCGGCCGGAAAACTGCGGAGAACTACAGGTGCCAGAATGCACCGCTGTAACGGTGGCGTCGCGCAACTCCTCGTGAGATCGGTCTATTTGACTTTGACAAGGCATCGACCCTGGCGAGGGATAAGAGGTGGGGATTAAGAAAGCTGCTGGTATCTTGGTTCATCCAGAACGACAAACGCGGAAGTGATTAATCGCTGGTAAACAAGAACCGTGGCCCCCTGCCGGACGTGTACACAAACTTTATGCCTAAATAGCCGAACTTTTTTGTGCGACTCTCACTCGCTCTGTGCTCTACTGAAGATGCCTCCCGCATGGGAGGCGAAACGTTGAATTAAATTGTTATTTTTGTTACATCAAGCCGTTTTTGTTATTCCATAAATTAGGAGCGCAGCCGGGACATTTTCTCCCGTGAATAACGATCGGGTGCTTGGAATCCGAAGCAGCTCTTTCGGCGTCCATTTGATGTTCTCGGAGTCGGTCGTTGAGGTATCGCCCCGTTTGCCCAATGTACCTGGCCCCGCAGGACAGGGGGGATCGCGTACACTTCCTTCGCTTCCTCTCCTTCCCGCAAGATTTCTCTTTCCGGTACTCCCACGGAGCGGGCGGGTTTTGAGCTTGAAGCCGAAAATAAAGTTCGCCCTTTCCACCTTTTTGCGTTTCCTCCTCTCCTGCCCTCCTTTCCTCACTTCACCGCCCTCCGCCACTTGTTTACCGCCCTCCCCCGAGGGGCTAACACGGAGAATGGATTAGGAGACGCCTCCGTTAATCCGGCATAACCCGCCGAAGAGGGGGCCTGCTGCTTCACTAAACTTGTTCCCAAAAGATACTTGAAGAGCCAATCTTAGAGATCGACGGATAACGAGGCCGAAATTATGCTTAGACCTCAAGGAAATTATAACACAAATTTGGCGTCGTCATTCCCAAACTGGTCGCCGAACGAAATTCTCTATGCGAATTGCAAACCAGGGTTGGTAATAGTAACATAATATACGTACGGCAGAATTCCCTGCCATAAATAAAATGATTTGGCTAACGCCAAAGTAACGCGAAACAGGTGCGAAGAGTTTTGCGAAAGGAAGCGTAAACCGAAAAAAAAAGGAAAAAAAAAAAGAAAGATTGAAGAAAAGGAGAAATAGAAAAAAAATTCCTGGGACGCGGCCAAAAAAAAATTTCTGTTCATATCATTTTTCGTGTCACGTGACCGTACAAAAAAAAAA